CACGATACCGTGAAGGGCACAGTGATCAACGAGATTGACACTGGCAGCCAGGTCTGTAACCTGGCATGGTCCAAGAACTCAAACGAGATCGTCTCAACCCACGGTTACAGCCAGAACCAGATCGTGGTGTGGAAATACCCATCCATGACGCAAGTCGCGAGCTTAACCGGCCACACATATCGTGTGCTCTACCTGGCCATGAGCCCTGACGGCAGAGTCGTCGTGACAGGTGCCGGCGACGAGACGCTCAGATTCTGGAATGTGTTCGGCCGTCGGCCTGGGGCCCGCGAGGACGGCGAGGCGGGAGGCAAGCTTGCCGACTGGAGCGTCATCCGGTGAACTGCCTCTCGCCTTTAACGAACACACATGAATGAAATGCTTACGGTCTCAAAAAATGGGTTTGGTATCCGAACACTCATCACGATCTCAGGAGTTTTTATTGGTTGGTATTTGGCGCGTCTGATATCCCCCTTCATATCATAGAATTTGGGTTGGATCGTGGTGCTCTTACGACATCTCAACTGGGTGAAAGATACCACTTTGCTGTATCACTGGCATGAAATCTGGCGTCGAGCAATTATTTTGGGTTTTTTGTTTTTGTTCTTGTTCCTCATGTCGCTCCCCTTCCGACTATGACCTTTTTTTATCATGACGGACAGACGTCGAGACGTCTCGGGTGCCCAGGGATAATCGTGGGGTTCAGGAACGCAAAAGGGACACAGCTACTAGCATGGGGACACGCATGGGTGAATGGATCAAGTTTTCGGATGCCTGGGAAGCGTATACACACAGCGATGATTTGCGCATTAAATTCAATACAGCATAGCGTAGATAAAAAAAATCTACAGTTACAAACAGCCGTACTGTGCACTGGAATATTTGTTCGTTTCCGTGATCCGTTGTTCCAAACAAAGTGAGCCCTGTCCATTTGTAAGACACATCGACATAGCAAAAATGGGAACGGAACTTGGTAGTTGCAATATGTATTCTTCGGTCCGAATCTCATAAGGCATGTATAGTAAATATGAGCGAAAAGTAACAACGATAAACCTCTAACTTCCAAGCGTCCTGCTTGGTACAAACGCTCCCAAACGCTACTCCCAATCAAGAAAATGAAGAGGATTTAAAAAAGAGAAAAGCAGGAGAAAAAAAGCTAAAGTAACGAGCTACGGGTGCGAGAAGCACCCGAACGGCAACCTGCGGCTCTCACTAGCACCCAAACTCCCTTATTCCAAGAGGGACGAGCAACTTCGTCCAAGTTCATAATGGTAGAAATAAAAAACATGCATTAAATCGGGTAGTCGGACGGAACAATCGTAGATGCCACGGGAGGGGCATTCAGCGTCGCCCCTGTGACAAAATTGCCCGGTCCTCTCACTTGCGCCTCTTCATTAGTTGACGCCGTTTTGCAGACCAGCCTTCCTCTCCTGCACCCTGCCCTGGTCCTTGCTATCGATACCTGTGGCGGTGCTTCGTACCTGCTCATCAAGGAGGGGGATTTGCTCGGTGCTGATGCTACGGACATGGCTCGGGGCGGTCGTGTCAACTCGGCCGTTTTGTAAGGTAGCGGCCGAGGCCCCCAGTGACATACTTGCGTCCTGAGCCGATGGGAAGCTAGAGGGATCATCGGGCTGGGGCCCCATTCCTGGAGAGAGGAGGCCAGCCTCCGAAGCATGTTGCCACTTGCTAACTTCTGCCTTCATAGCCTCCAGCTCTTTCTGGAATCGCCGCCCGAAAACGTCGATATAGTAAGTAGAACCGTTGTAGATACTCCAAGAGAATACAGTAAGCAGGAAAATTGACGAGGCGTATCGGCTGAAGAACCAGAGAGGGCATGGCATTATTGTAAGGCAGGCATAGATGTATTGGATGCCCATGAACGTGGGCTCTTGAAGATGGCTTGGAAGTGAGAGAACAATCTTTCCAATCCACGTCCTGGAGTATGACTGTCGGAGCCAGGTGAATGAAGTGGGACGTCCCGCAGCGATCTTATCTCTTCGACGGAAACTGATGAAGAAGTAGTATGACAGCTGCCAAATTGCGTAAGGCAAAGTGCTCCAGACGAGCATGGACAACACGTTTGCGTAGGCAGTGAGGGATCCGGCGCTCGAGTTTTTAATGGTGTAGATTGCCGGGAAGCGCACCTTCTGCAACTCGGGAGGGAAGAGGTGCACCAGACAATGCAGCGTCGCGCAAGGCATGATATGGATGAAAAGCGTCGTGACTTTGTCAAAGCTGTGGAACACGAGGGAGTTACGCCACATGATAATAGCCACAGCGTTGTTTCCAAACGCCAGACAGTACGCAGCGACAAATAGCCGCTTCGAGCTTGGGAAAACCCATATCGAGAGTGAACAGAGGAGGTTGACGAAATAACAAAGGTCGGCAAGGAAGTAGTGGTATCCACGACGTTGGTATAAGTAGATGCGGATGGGCATGAAGTAGATGAGCTGAACCCCGTACCAAAGATGGAAGAGTTCAGGGTGGCCACCGATCAGGTATCCGCTAATGAAGATGTTCATAACGCCGCATATGAAGGATACCTTTTCTCGTAGGCTGATGGTCTTGGTGTCGTTCCACTGCCTGCCCAACTTATCCACACGCTGGCGGATGCGCTTCCTGTACCGCTCGAGCTGTTCATCGGCCGATGGTAGTCGTCGCCTCCATTCTTCCACCATGCGATCCCGGGCGCCCTGTGTTTTGTTTTTGAACACATCTTTTGAGCGGCGGACCTTGTCCGTATGCTTCGAGATCCCCTTCTGGAGCTTCTCTAGCTGCTGTGGCAATGCGAAGTTGTCGAGAAGATCCAGAACTGTCAACCTATCGAGAGGAGGCAGGGCATCGAAATCGTCATGATAGGCGCTACTTCCAGAGAACGAAGGATGCCTGGAAAGTCTGGCGTCGGACGGGCCGACGCTGGGCGTATCCAGCACAGACTCGTCCGGTGGTGAAGAGCTCAAGAAAGAAGCAGTATCGCCTTCCAGTCCCCCGGCGGCGAGGGCGCTATCTGATTCAGCGGCACGGAAGGGTATAGCGGTGGGCTTCGATTCGGTGCCCATGGTGAATTCGATATGTGGGGTGGCTGTTGAGGAGATGAAGCCTGTTAGACGTGGACTGGTCGCAGTGAACGTGATTTACATCACCTGCTATAAGTGAAAATATAACGATGTCGTCTATGAATAGTCAGGAAACCGGATGATCAAGTCTTCTATGTCGAATGTTGAAAGTTTCTGGATAAACAGCTGGATGAGCGCACGCGTGCGATCACCAGTATGACGTCTAGGAGGACAACATCAGGGCGCAGGGGAAGATATCGAGGAGGAGGAGGAGGAGGCGGAAAGCGTGGGATCGAGGTGGGAGGTTGCGAGAGCGAGGACAGTTGAAATCAGACAAGATTTTTGGGGAGTAAAAGACGTGTTGTAAGGCGAAATGAGATGGGATCACATAGAAAGATAGACTTCTTGGTCACTGGGACAGGTTGGCAGAAGGCTAATTATAAGTATCACTTCCGTATCGAGGATTAAGTCGGATGCCATGCGGGACCCAAGGTAAGGTAGGGGGGCCTGGAGTGGGCCTCGCCCTGCAGCCTCTCTGCCTCCAGCGCCCTTGATTTAGGCGCTGTGACTGGGCAGCGGGCCTGTAAGGATCCGCACTGTGGCACGCAGCCCACACAGAGAGGCGGATCTGTGAGCTGGTACATGGGAGGAGTGGCATCTGGGATGTGGCAGAGCTGTTTGAGATGGAAGCTTCCTCCCTCTTACTGGTTCTGGTCGTGTTTAGGTAGGTAGAGGCAAAGACGCATTGTATCGCTGGAACTTGAGTAACTCTAAAACATCACATATCTGAAAGCCGCATGACAACCGTGATCAAACGAAGCACCTGCAGGGCACAACAGCAGGAACTACCATTGCCTACTTAATCTGTTTACCTCTTCGTGGATGAGGCGGTCAGACGAGGTCTCCAGCCAAAGAGCCTCCAGGGATCATGAAGGTGGTCCTTGTTGCTGTGTTTGCTCCAGCTGCGTAAAACCAATTGTGGAGGGCCTTTTCAACATGCAATATCAACCTAAGCTGCTACATAGCAAGGCCTGGCCGGTCTTTTGCACATAACCCGACCCTGGTGCTTCTCTTCGGATCACTTTCCCGCAACTGCGAGGGGTCCGCCTGGAAGAGACTGTTGAGGGGCCAGGGAGCGATGTGATCATGATGGTGAGCCTGCGAGTTGAACAAGTGATGGATATCATAAACCACCTGACCACCTAGCGGCTGGACGTCAAGAATCTCTGCCGTTGAATCAGAAATCGTCATCCGCCCATGTGGCCATTTGGCGGGGTGACACTCTGGCTTGAACAATTGATGTGAATCTTTACAGTGCGGAGGCGCGCATATTCAACACTGTGCAAGACCCACTGATACCTCGGACGTCTTAGTCATCACTGGCCCCACTTCAAGCTTGGCCGGTCAGGCTTGATTCAGGCGTTTAATGCACGGCCACTTGGTGCTCGTCGCAAGCAAAGTACCCACCGCGACGCGCTCCGCGCCAACTGCGCAATCTCCATCCTCACCACACATTCAACGCTGCCTCTCTACGCGCCTGGGCAAGGTGATAGGTAAGCCATCATCCACTTTTGATGCCGTACAAATGGTTTACTGACCTGAGAGCTTATCCTGCTCACTTTTAGGTTTCCCACAGGACCCCTTCGCGCTGCCTTCTGGGTCTAGGTGCAAAATATTATTCCTTCCTTACTGCATCCATGAAATGCCCCGCTGAGCCACCAGCGGTCGATCTCAGAGTCGCATTCGAGCGCGTTCACATCACATAAGAACTGCGTAAAGCGCAGCGTATCCATCTCTACACGTCGGGCTTGTTATTGGAAACAAGTCCTCGGTTCAATTTGTCGAGCAGCATAGCTGTAGATTGTCGCATTCGCGGCCGCTTGGCTATTCACGCCTCCCGCCACATTTCACCATAAGCTCTGTCTCACTGAGATTCCGTTCACAATGGGGAAGCTTATCCGTTTGGAGTTGTTCAGTGAGTAGGACATTGGGAGCTCCTTGCCTGATATCAGCGCCACTGACCAAGCGACTACGTAGACTTCAAGTCCTACAAGGGCCATCACACACTACTCTTTGGCGATTCCTACTTCACCTCGATCATTGGACCCAATGGATCTGGCAAGTCGAATTCGTGAGTTGAAAATTGGCTCCGTAGGCATGCGTTGTACTGACCAATGCCTCCTCAGCATGGATGCGATTTCCTTCGTTCTAGGTATCAAGTCATCCCATTTGCGCTCAGCCCACCTCAAAGATCTCGTCTACCGCGGCCGAGTACTCAAAACATCGAAAATCAACGATGATGGTTCAGCCAACACGGATAACCAAGCCAATGGGTCCGCGAATGGAGATGATAAGGCTTCTCGTGGCGATCCCAAGACAGCATGGGTCATGGCCGTATATGAAGATGAGGCTGGCGAAGAGCAGCGATGGAAGCGATCCATCACGAACCAAGGCGCCAGCGAATATCGTATCAATGATCGTGTTGTGACCGCTCAGCAATATAACGAGGCTCTCGAGAAGGAAAACATTTTAATCAAAGCTCGAAACTTCCTTGTCTTCCAGGGTGACGTCGAAGCCATTGCGTCCCAATCTCCTCAGGACCTCACGCGATTGGTCGAGCAGATTTCCGGAAGTTTAGAGTACAAGACTGAGTATGAGAAGCTTCAGGCATTGGCCGACGAGGCCGTTGAGAACCAGAACTTCCAGCTCCACCGCCGCCGTGGTATCAACTCTGAGATCAAACAGTACCGAGAACAGAAAAAGGAAGCCGACAACTTTCAAAAGAAGATGGACGAGAAGGATGCTGCCATTGTCACCCAGACACTCTGGAAGCTTTACCACTTTCAGAAAGCGATGGATGAATCCCGAGCCGCAATCCAGAATCACCAGGAAGAGTTGAAAGACATGAAGCGGACCGTGGAGACATTCGAAAAGAAGCTTGAAGTTGCTCGCAAGGATGAACACGCCGCAAAACGTCAAGTCTCACAGCTCGAAAGGGATATCAAGACTAAGGAACGAAGCATTGAAGAGAAAGAAAGAGACATCATCCCCTTTGATGAGAAGATCGCCCAAACAACCAGCAAACTCGACCATTTGCGTCATCAGGGCGACAAGATTGGGAAAGAAAGAGATGAACAGGAAGCCACCGTGCAGAAAGTCAAGAATGATATTGATAGTGTTGATAAGGCCAAGGAGGTCTTTGAGAACGATATCAAGGAACAGATGCGAAAACAGGGCCGTGCAATCAGCGATGAGGATCGTCAGGAGTACAATGCTCTCAGATCCCAGGTTATGGCCCAGACTGCTTCTAACCAGTTTGATCTGGAACATCTGGACCGCTCGCGGAAAGCTGACGAGGTCACTGTGAACAATCTCAAGGGCAAAGTCGAGGCGATCGAAGCAGCAATAGAGAAGAACAACACTGAACTAGAATCGATCGTCGACAGGAAAGAATCTGCCCAAGGCATTGCTACCGAACTTACTGCCAACATTTCTTCCACAAAGAAAGAGTTCAATCGTCTTCAATCAGAACGGGTTCAATCAAATCAGAAGCGAACCGAGCTCGAAGAAAAGCTTGAAGATGTTGCAAGAAAGCTCCGAGAAGCGGACGACGGTCGAAGACAGAGTGACAAGGAGACAAGGATCAAAGAGATGGTTGCATCCCTAAAGCGCATTTTCCCCGGAATCCATGGTCGGGTAGGCGATCTATGCAAACCCAAGCAAAAGAAATACGAGGAGGCTGTGCTGGTTGCTCTCGGCAGAAACTTTGATTCGGTTGTCGTCGACACGGAAAAGGTTGGAAGCGATTGTATTGGCTATCTCAGAGAACAGAGATTTTCGACAATGAGCTTCATCCCTCTGGACAATATCAAAGTGCCTGCTGTGAACACTGCTATCAAGAGCTTCTCCGGCGCACGGCTGACAATCGACACTATTAATTTCGACTCATCCCTGGAGCGCGCCATTGCATATGCCTGTGGAAATTCAGTTGTGTGTGACACATTGGAGATTGCGAAACACATCTGCTATGAGAAGAGGACACCAGTGGAGGCCGTCACATTGGACGGCTTTGTGATTCACGAGAGCGGTACCATGACGGGTGGTCGTGGGCCAGAATCTAAGAGCGGCAAGCGACGGTTTGAGGAGGCCGATCTCCAGAATCTCCAGCGCATTGCAAACAAGCTCACAGAAGATATCGAGAGACTGCCAAAGTCAGACAGGCGAAGCAATCAAGAAGAAAGCCTGCAGACCCAACTCAGTGGTTTGGAGAGGCGTCTTGCAGCTGTTAAGGATGAGCTAGCCGCTTTTAATAAAAACGAGCATAGCAAGAAACGCGAGCTCGAGAACCAAAAGAGAGAGCTGAGGGAGATCCGACCAAAGTATGAGGAGAAGGTCGCCGATCTAGGCAAGATCTCGAAGAGTGTTAAAAAATACAGAGATGCCATTGCTCGTGTCGAGGATCAGGTTTTCGCAGACTTCTGTTCCCGTCTGGGATACAGTGATATCCGCGCTTACGATGCCTCCCAAGGCAAGTTTGAGCAGGAAGTCTCTGAGAAGCGAACCGAGTACTCAGTCCAAAAACAGAGGCTCGAGAGCCGACTTAACTGGGAGGTGACTCGTCACAAAGAGACTGAGGCCCGTATCAAGAAAATACAGGACCAAATCAAGTCACTGAAGCGGGACATCAAATCATACACGTCACACAAGGAAGAGATCGTGGACCAGTTGGCTCAAGAACAGGCCGAACTGGAAGCTCTCCGCGAAACACTCGAGGAGTACCAAGCGGAATTGCAGGAACGAAACCAAAAAGTCAGCGAGGCCAAGGCCGAGCTACAAAAACGTAGTCGAGGTATTGATAGCCGCCTCAAAGAGATCACAGCACTCGAGTCCGAGGTCCAGAAGAACAATTCAAGCAAATCCGCTCTGCTGCGAAGGTGTCGTCTAGAACAGATCCAAATCCCACTTGCCGAAGGAAGTTTAGAGAACTTGCCCAATGAGGACGACATCATTCGCCAAGATCCAGATGCGATGGACATTGACGAGCAGGATGACGATGATATGCTTGAAGCTGTGGTGGAGGACCACGGAATTGAAATTGACTTCTCCGGTCTAGACGAAGAACTCAAAGAGGTAAGTCACCACTGATTAGCCGGATCCCCTACGCCATACTTTTGGATGGCATGGGCCTTTAGAGAATACAGACTAACTCTGGTTTAGTCTGATGCTTCCGAGGTCGAAGACTCCCTCACCGAGAAGATCACGTCTCTCACCATGGAGCTCGAGAAGCTCAACCCCAATATGCGCGCGATGGAACGTCTGGAAAGCGTTGAAACACGGCTTAAGCAAACCGACCAAGACTACGAAGATTCCAAACTAGCAGCGCAAAAGGCCAAGGACGAATTCAAGGACGTCAAGGATAAACGGTACGAGCTGTTCAACAAGGCCTTTTCGCACATCCAGGAACAAATCACCCATGTCTACAAGGACCTCACCAGGTCCGAGGCCTATCCCTTGGGTGGTCAAGCATATTTGGATATCGAGGAAGACACGGACATGCCGTATCTCTCCGGTATCAAATACCATGCTATGCCACCGTTGAAGCGGTTCCGTGATATGGAGCATTTGTCGGGAGGTGAGAAGACAATGGCAGCACTTGCCTTGCTTTTCGCCATCCACAGCTACCAACCTAGCCCCTTTTTCGTGCTGGATGAAGTTGATGCTGCACTGGACAATGCGAATGTGGACAAAATTAAAAAATACATCCGAGAACATTCGGGCCCCGGTATGCAATTTATTGTCATCAGTTTGAAGGCCGGACTGTTCCAGGATAGCGAGAGTTTGGTTGGAGTTTACCGAGACCAGGAGGTAAATAGCTCAAGAACCCTGACTCTTGATGTAAGTTGACTCGACCCCTCACTCACCTTGGGAACGTACACATGAGCACACTGCTAACAGGTTGAAACAGCTGAGAAAGTATGCATAATCAGCGAAAATTAGCATAGCAACGTGACGAGCCAGCTCATTCTGGCCTTGCACTAGAGATAGGACACCCTCTCCAATTTGTGGGTTCGGTATTAGAGGAGGGGAGTTTGGCTGGGCTATTCCGTTGGATCATCCGAGATTGGGTGACGAATATGATGCCAATGCTCAGTCTAATTAGTGGCACCTATATAGTGCTACATGCCTATCATTACGTGTGTGAAGGTTAGGGTGGATGGGTTATATAAGGCGTAACATAGTTATTCTAGTTGTCTTTTCAACATGTGTCAATACACCACTTGACTATTCAGCAAAGTATCTACCTACGGGCCTGAGATTACATAAACAATGGCGGCCAACTTTTGCAAATTGAGAGCTGGAAAACAGCACGGGCATAGGTAAACAATAAGCGGTTGGAAGTGGTCCTCATTGCTGAATCTTCTCATCCCTCTCGATGTATCGAATTCCAAGCTCAGGTCTTTCCCGGCTCAAGGGCCTGCTCTCCTGAGAATATGACGATAGGAAGTATACTTGGGAAGCGGCATCCTCCTAAACGGAACCAGTCCGTGCGGATGCATCTTGACCTGGCTGGCCCTCGAGACTGAGTTGGATAGTCCACCATTCCAAAGCGGCTCAAACCTGTGCCTATCTTCCCTATAGATAAAAAGATCCGACCTGTTTCTGCAAAGTTGTATAGCAACGTAGGTACAAGCTGATGGCCCCGACGCAGAAGAGAGTTTTATGATGATGCAAGATGGGGAAGGAAGAGAAGACTGGAGCCCACATCGCCGGATCTCTCGATCGAAAGGTAAGCGAGGAGCAGGCCCTGAAGAAACTTCCCATATTATACGGAGCCAAGCCTGGGGAATGTAAGAATGGCTCGTTGTGCTTCCGCATATGTGAGTGCACAGTGTAGTATTGGCAAGTTGTTCATGCCCGCCCCAGAGTTGCAGGTCAGGAATACCGGGGCCCAGAACGTGGTATATGGGCATGGGGATGTCGGCGCCAGACTGTAAGAGAATCTCAATCACGCTGAGGTCATCTTCTTTAGTATCTTCTGTGGTATCTTCTGTGGTATCGCTTTCTTTATCAGACCCTTCGTCGAATAATTCCCAGGGCCTTTCGCCTGTCTGGTTGAAAATCTCGTTGCGTCTATCGCGGCTTAGGTTGTTGAGTGTCTGGTTAAAACTGTCTTCGAAATCTTCATCAAATTGTTGCTCAAATTGACCATGACTTTCATCCTCATGACTTTCATCCTCGGAGGAGGATTCCCAATAGGAACTCTCATGAGTTGACCTAGATTCCTCATCTGCCACCTCTTCACCTCTGATAGCTGCAAATAAAGCGCTATCAAAGAACCCATGTAGCCGGGTGTTTGAATCTACTCCCAGTTCTGGAGATAGTAAGAAACGACAAAATCGGCGGTTGCCATGAAGTGCCGCAGTTGCTAGTGCGCTGCCAGGACCTTCTTTGAATGTAAGTGTGGGATCAGCTCCCAGCTCGATTAAACGCCGCCAAAGTGTCTCAGAGGAATCACCAGCTGCCGCAATGCAGAGGCAGTTTGAAAAGCCATTGTTGTAGTTAGGATCGGCGCCTGCATCTAAAAGGGCATGCACTATAGTTTTGTTGTTTTCATTATTATCGTGCTCATAGCTAAGAGCGACCGTAAGAGGGGAGAAGTTCTTGGTGCCAAGGTTGGGATCAGCTCCCGCTCTTAGCAGGGTTTTGACCTTGTCTCGCCTGCCGCTCTTCACAGCCGTAACCAAAGCCGTTACTCCGTCGGTTCTAGACACACAGTTGACATTGGCGCCAGCATCCAGGAGAGTTTCTAGGCAGTGGATTGTGGTGTCATTCTCGCGAGCCGCCTCGATGAGCGGGCTCGTCTCCTGGTCGTGAATGTTGGGGTTGGCACCTTCGCTGAGCAGGAGCTTAATGGAGCCAAGCTTTCCACATCGAGCTGCACCAATCAGAGCAGTTTTACCAAAAAAAAGTGTTGACTTTTGGACCAAGTTAACATCTGCCCCCAATTCTATCAGCCTTTTAATAGCTTCCAAAGAGCCGCAAAGTGAAGCGATGATCAGAGCAGTCGAGCACTTATCAGCGTAAGCATTTACATAAGGGTAAGCACTTGCATCAGAGTAAGCATTTACATCAGCACCCGCATCAATGCACTTCTCAATCCAATCGACCATATTGTTCTTAGCAGCGCCCGCCAAAGCAAGGCTTAGGTTTCCAAGCCTAGCTCCATGCTGCAGCAGAAGCGGAATTATGGCCTTGCGTCCTCTCCAAATTGCAAAATCAAGTGCTGTGGAGCCGGCAAGATCCTTCAGATTTGCATCTGCCTGATGGTCTAGGAGCAGTCGCACAACGGCTGGATATTCTCCCACTAACATGGCTACTTGAATCGGAGTTTTGCCTTCTGTTCCCCAATTGTATACCTTGTTAATTGTAGCACCTGCTTCGATTAAGACCCGAACCGTAGCTTCATGGCCATATACGCAGGCTGTCATCAGGGGGTTCGAGCTTTCCCCCCTGATATCCGCGCCTTTGCGAAGAAGAAAGCGGCAAAGCTCGTCATGGCCTCTCATAGCTGCTACAAAAAGCAGTGATCGATTGTTCTCATCGCGTAAGTTTACATTGGCGGTGTGATTATTCTTACACCATTCTTCGAGGACCCAGGTCAGACCTGAATCGCAAATGACCCAGAGGCTTGATGAAGATGGCAACCGAAATGAGGATAAATAGGAATTGTCCGCCCAGGCTACCCAAGTTCGGTATGCTCTGCTGCTCACATGCGGGGAGCCTAAGAATCGAAACAGGAGTTGGCGGAGCAGTGCATTTTGGGCGTTTTCTTGTCGTTGCACAAACTTGGGCCAATTCTGGGTAATAAAGTTGTCAAGATGGATATTCCATCCAGCCTGGCAATGGCACATTGCAAGAAGATACTTGATACAAGCCAACGCCGTCTTCCTGTATGGCTGAAGTTGATCGGCCAGCCGGTTTTCAATGTATTCCGTAGCAGACAAGTGGCAAAATCGCCATTTACCCTCCTCTTTCTCCAGCTTTAGTAGATTGCAACACAAGGAATGTATGTCCTTCTCCGTAAGCGTCCCATCAAAATCAAACAACCTGTCACAGCCGTCGCTCTCAATTTTAATAGCAATTGAGAGCTCTTCTGTGGATAACGGACTAGGAGCACATAGGACCCAGCATATGGCGCGTTTGGCCAAACGGGATTCTATGCCGTCTTTAAGGAGAATCATATGCCAGATCTCATCATAGGCCTTTTCAAGAGTTTTTGGGAGCTTCCCCAGACGGTCCTCGATAAGGCTTTCGCTCCAGGAAGTCAATTGTCTAAGGTGCTGTACCTGTAGAGTTGCCCATTGAAACATTCCTCGACTCATGTGGAATAAGGTTGATATGATTTTGTCCTTGAGTTTTGGTTCTAGGCTGTCCCACCTTTTGTCCCGAGAAAGCTCCCCTTTGACAAATGATTCAATATCATGTTGATTATCGGTTGCATGGATCTCAATGATTGGTTGTGACTCAAAATGCCTGATGATGTCTGCATCTTTTCGGCTGGATATGAATATCTTCATATTTGAATGCCGGTCTAATAATTGGCTAAGACAATCCATTAGGAGGCTTCTTTTGTCCATGTTACACTCATCGAGTGCATCCAGAATGATAGTTGTGTTCCTATAGGATGATATGAGTTTTGATAGTATGTTCTGGCATAGACCAACACTGAAAGTCAAAGCTCGCTCCTCCATGTTTGTGGCCAAGGTTTGAACCTCTTGATGGATCTCTTCTGACCGCTGAAAGGTAGAGGAGAGCTGACGAACTAAACTCCGAAGTATGAAGACTGGCTGGCTTCGCTCCTCATCATCCCTTTTGCAGTAAAAATATGCAAAGCCTTCTAACTTTGGCGATTGCTCAACATGATCAATAACTCGAGAAATCAAGAATGTCTTCCCAGCGCCAGCTAAATTCTCTCTATTAGTAGTGGTCCCTGATTTTCACTATTTGGAAATTTAACACGTACGTGCACCGTATAATAGTGTGATGGTTGAGGTCTCTGAGGCTTGCCATTGCTGGAATTCATTGCTCTTAAGAATCCACTCTCCGGTACCCTTGGTTCTCCTTTCTTGGATATCCATGTGGTGACCTCGGTAAGGGGCAGCAGAAATCCTCTTCAGGATCTTGATTCGTTCCTGATTCTGCATTTTGACGAGGATTTTGTCAAGTGTCGAAAATACGCCTGGAAGGTGGCGTTGAATCTCGTCTGAAATTTGGAGGATGCGCAAGCTATCGCACTTTTGTGCTTGTTCTTTGAGTTTCAGCCATCGGTTATGGAGCTGCTCTGATGCTTTCTTGGCATCTTCAGGTTTTAACAAAGCGCTTCCCACTCGGACAATAGTGTGTTTCTGCATTTGAGAGCAGCAGAATGATAAGCCATCTAGTATGGCGATATACAATTCGACAGTATCGTTTCGCAAGTCATTCAGAGGCTCTTGGCCAATGGGGTCTTGTAATCGGGAGCCGGCATCAAGATACAGGCTCTCAAAAACTCTGCCATGGTGTACTAGACGTGCTGCGTCTTCCATGATGGCTACGATATACCCCATCTGTTCTCGTTCTGTGATGAAAGACTACGAAATTAGTGGCCATGATCAGCAAAGCGACCTCGAGAAAAACGACAATTTTATCACTGAAGTTAGAAGTGAGAGTTGTCATATGGCAGTTGGAGATATCTCACCTGGAGGATGAAGCGGAAAGCGGCCCATGGTAGCGCAGCATGGACTGGGTCAACATTCATGGCCATATCACCGAATGCCTTGAATTTATCCAACCAGTCAACCATCCTGGAGAAGGCGTGTCGCACATTCACGTGGCGAGAGCCTATTTTGACTACCCACTGTTTCGATTCACATTGTGCTTGCTTCGCTTTTGAGAGTGTGATGATGCTGTCAATCTCAGCAGATGAGCTACCCGATGTAGGATTGTTTTTCTGGATGCTATCGAGGGCCTTTTGGGTATCTGGGGGCAGTTGGGCAAAGGCTGCTTGCCAACAGCTGACGGCCGACTGGGCCATGGTAGAAGAATAACCAGTCACGCAGTTTCGGGTCTTGGAAGACGAAACAAGAGGAAGATGTAGGAAGAATACGGAATGAAGCTGGAGATCAAGTTGGGTTCCAGCTGCAGTGCGGCATGGTTACAATGTGACACAGCCACATGCACGCTTACTGAGGCTGGGTGCATATAGTTCCGCCAATCAGTATTGGAAGATGAGGTATGAGCCTTGGAAAGAAATTGTTGGCATCTATAGAGCCAGAAACGAATGATATGATGTCCTTGACGCTACAGCCAGCGAAATCGAGATACTTGTATTCGAAGGAGTACATCATTTGTCGGGGCGTGGTCGAGAAACTCGCAAACTGGGTTCAGGACCATCGTCTAGGGACTTGGGGACCTACCCCCTACCTGAGGTATGTATATTGTCGTTGTAAAGCAATATAATTAGGGACCGGAAACAGGTACTCAGAAAACACTCACTACCTACCTAGGTACCATGCAACATATGTTCTTGCTCACTCAAAGATCTATTCATTGACTGAAGGATTAGGCAGGCAGTTGGATCAAAGTCTCACTTCATACCTGCCCACTTACGTACTAGGGGGGTAGGTAAGTATAGTAGGCTCCACAGTGCAGATTGTAAGGCTGCAACGTGACCACCTGACCAATGGGGATGAGGTAAGGTGCGACCGCCACAAGGCACCAGCCGCAATGCTGTCGCATACAAGACTTGCTAGACTTTTCTAATCTCTCGTATTCCAATTCCATACACCGGTCCCCGTCTCTCGCGAAACCCTCGATCCGCGCATCTGGGAGACCTATTTTGACGGAAGAAGAGCGGCAGAACACATCGATGTGGGGATACGCTGGCTAGGGAGCTGGCTGGACCTGGGGGTCTCTCAAAGCGACTGGGCGAGCCAGTGCAAAGTAACCTCACATCGCCGTCACCTCACCTGGAATCGTTGGGCTGGACAATACCCATTCACTGATATCGCATTCGTTTTGTTTCCCGTCGCACGGCTACTCTAGGCGCACTTATTGAGCCACCTCAGCGCGAGCTAGAACCTCTCTCTAAGACTAGATTTCATCGATATCGCAACGCCAACATTCTCGATCGCGACTTGCCTGGACTCAGAATTGAGACCCGAACGAGCCACCCGGACGCTCCTGCCCTTGAAATACACACTTATTCAATTGTCGGCTCGTTTCGCTCTGGTTACCTACCATTGCAATATTTCACACGCTTTTATCATCAGCTCGTTTCGCCCCGCTGCCCACCATGGATCTCGCAGTTACGTTGATCAAGTCGGTCATGCGGGCCTTCTACACGACTCGCGACATCTTAGTCATTGACGCCCTCATTCTCCATGAAACGTAAGTCCAAGTGCATCCCCGGCTGGTTTCATCTGCTAACATTATGGACAAGCCTTCGAGATGACGATCTTGCGTATCTCATGTCCATTAACACCAAAGACCTACACAAGATATGTGGAAAGCTCAGAGAGGATAGATTCCTTACTGTGTAGGCTCGAATTGCCCCTTTTCCTCTTGTATCAGCCAGAAACTGATACTTTCACAGACATACGAGACCCGAAAAGCGACCTGACAACCCTCGACCTAGCAACAGAACGTATTACTACATCAACTATCGCCAGACGATTGACGCTATCAAATGGCGCGTGTACACCATCGACAAGGAAGTGCAGGGCACTACGGTCCAGACTAGCGAGATGAAGGAGTACTTTTGCAACTTCTGCAAGGCAGAGTGGACCACGATGGAAGTTCTCGACAACAACAGCGCGGCGGGTTTCTTATGTCACAGGTGTGGCCACGTCCTGACTTTCGAGGCAGACAGAAACGCTGGAGGCCACGAGCAATCTACGAGACTCAACGACCAATTCAAGTTCATCACCGAGCAGCTTCGCCAAATCGACCAGGTCCACATCCCCGAGTGCGATTTCGAACGAGCGCTCGCAAAACAACGCCCCGTCGAGCGTGATGCCACCCACCAACGCGTGGCGACTATTGCAATGGATTCTGGCGCGCACCGGCCGATGGATGTGAAGGGTCTATCAAACCTCGGCCCTCAGTCGATAGCTGTTAACATCTCAACCGCAGAGGGTGCGACCGATGCCGAGAAGGAGGCCGAGAGGGCGCTCAAGGAGCGGATTGCCAAGCAGAACGCTCTTCCCTCGTGGATGTCGGCGAGTACTGTCAGTGGTGAATCGTTTGGTGGAAACTCACTCGCTGTGCCTACCCTTGATCGCAAGAAGGATAACCCTAAGAATGCACCGCAGTCCAAGGGACCCGAAGCCAGCGACAGCTCTAAGATTGATGATATTTTCGAGAAGCTTAAGGCTGAGCAACTGGCAGCAGCTGCGACAGGTGGCGACGAGTCTGGGTCAGAGGAGGATGAGGACGAATTCGAAGATATTCCCGTAAGCACACCTATCATCAAGAAGGAGCCCTCGGATGGCTCCGAGTCGCCACAAGCCAAGCGAGTCAAGATTGAGCCAGGCATCAAAGAGGAGCCGATGAAGGATGCCGGGGAGCCCAGCGACGAGGACGACGACGAAGAACTGGAATTCGAGGATATTTGAGACAGGCGAGGATAAGAAACCAGTTGCCAGCGTTTGATTTTTAAAAATAGACGGAGTTACTCAGGGGCTAGTCTCGGTTGCGTTGACCGGTTTAGATTAAAGACCAGCAAAGATACCAAATATAAATCAATTGAGCAAACCGTCGTTACCGTTGGAACTGTACGCCACCCGCCGCTTGTAGCTTCAGACTATCGAGGGCGAAAGAAGATGCCGAACTTTAATCGTGAGGCAAACCGGTAGGGCATATGGCAGTATGGCATTGATGGAAATATGCGGTATGTTGATGGGAATGCACACTTCCTGCTAACCTGCTTTTGATGGCGTAGGTGTGTCACGATTACATATAAATTCGAGGTAGAACGCCATCGTACCCACCAATCACACCCGATCGTTCTCTGCCTTAGTGTTGCTGAGTGTCATTGATGTCTCATCCAAACTACATTGGGGATTTATCCATGCAGGGTGATCTCGATGAGCTTGAACTGAGAAGTGTGATGCCATCACGGCCATCTCAGTATCATCCGCACTCTGCCCTCCCTTGCTTTACAAACTCCAACTATCACTCATAAACTAGTCTCGACCATGTTCATCTCAGCTCGCCAGCTTCATTCTGCACAATATGGCACTCGAAATACCCCCCACGTATCTTCTCTCAACCAACCTGGAGCCCGATCAATTGCAGCAACTTGAGGGGCAGATATCGTCCCTAACGCGGGACATCAATGAAGCTCGCATCGTTCTGGGGAAGATATCGCGGCGAGAACGGGCTTTGTTCGAGCTGAGACGGCTGAGGCTTCTAACAGAGGAGGTTTCGCTGATAAGCGAGCAAGCTGGGGACGGTGATGAGAGAAAGGAGGATAACTCGCCGCGACCTAAGCGACGAAGATTATCCAGCCCTTCACCTGAGCAGGCTGGGGTGAACTTGAACAAAGATCAAGGCGGCGATGTCTCTGCATCAAACGACACAATCATGGTAGTCAAACTGGCATGGTGGTTGGAGTCACAGGAACAGGGCTCCTTGCTGCCCATTGAGGACTACGTCCTCTACAGAGGTAGAAAGCTACCAGCGGCGCAGGCCAGCAGCCCAATCTCTGTGAAAAGCATGAATCGCGACAGAATACTGAGCTCTCCTATCGGGAAGAGTAGTTCATCCCGACTCCCAGGGACTGCCGAGCGATTCGGCCCGCGCCGCCATCGCCGTATCACGTCTCAACCGCCACCGCTCCCCCGAGAGACAACATTAGAACATGATGTGCCGTTGCCGTCTATTCCAGACTTCCTGCATACCACTTATTCCTGCCAGCGGCCAACCCCCGGCAACCCGCCTAATGCGGGATTCATCAAGGAGCTGAAGGAGGTGCGTACGCTGCGGCTCCTCCAGGGAGACCAGATTGGCGTGAGGGCATACTCTTCCAGTATCGCTGCGTTGTCGGCGTATCCGCATCTTCTACAAACTGCGCACGGTTCGTCCCCTTCTCCCCGTTAGCTTAGGAGTCGCCCTTAGATCTTGCTTAATATACCCGTCTGACTTGTGAGCAATGATAGAAGTCGGGAAGCTGCCTGGGTGCGGTGCTAAGATTGCCGAGCTATACCAGCAGTGGAAAGACAGAGGAGCTCTACAGGAAATCGAAGAAGGCAGGTCAAACGATAGACTGCGTGTGCTCAAGCTGTTCTACGATATCTGGGGCGTGGGGGACACAACAGCACGGGATTACTACAACAAAGGTACGTGAGACCACTGCCGCTGAACAGGAAATGTCTATGTGCGCTGTTCACTGATTGTTAGTCAGGCTGGAGGGACCTGGACGACATCGTCGAGCACGGGTGGGACACCCTCAGCCGCGTCCAGCAGATTGGGGTGAAATACTACGATGAGCTCCAGCAGAAGATACCGCGGAGCGAGGTCGAGGCCATAGGCGAGGTCATCCTCACCCACGCCCGCGAGATCGACGCCGGGTTCCAGATGGCCATCGTCGGCGGGTACCGGCGCGGCAACGCGGAGAGCGGGGACGTGGACGTGATACTGAGCCACGTCGACGCCGCGGCGACGCTCCACTTCATCAGCAAGATCCTCGTCCGCCTCGAGCAGGCGGGCTACATCACGCACACGCTCACGCTGTCGACGAGGAACAGCGAGCGCGGCCAGGCGCCGCTGGCGTGGAGGGGCGAGGGGCGCAAGGGGTCCGGGTTCGACACGCTGGACAAGGCCATGGTCGTGTGGCGGGACCCGGACGGGGGCGAGGCCGCTCCGCATCGACGGGTCGACATCATCGTGAGCCCGTGGAGGACGGCCGGGTGCGCGATGCTGGGCTGGAGCGGGGGCACGACGTTCGAGCGCGACCTGCGCCGGTACTGCAAGGCCGAGCTGGGGCTCAAGTTTGACAGCAGTGGAATCCGCAGCCGCCGGGATGGAAGCTGG